CCAGGTGGCTGACCACCACGACAAGAGCGCGTTTCTTTATTTTTGGCGATGATGGGCGTTGTAGGTTGGGGCGGGGGGCGGGGGGGGGTATAATGTAACGCCCCCCCCGGCGTGTGGCTCCTGCACCACAGCCGCGCCCGCGGGCACGACGACGATGAGTGCACCACAATCCTCGCGTGCACCACACCGCGCGTGTACACCACACTGCCTGCGTACACCGCAACAGCCGTGTGCGACGCAGCGCCTGTGTACACCACAGTGCTTTCGGGAGACTCTCCATGGGGGGAGATCCCATAGGGGGGCAGGAGGAGATCCCCCCCATGGGATCCCCTCCTGCCCCCCGATGGGATCCCCAGGGGATCCTATGGGATCCCCCCCCTGGGATCCTATCCCCCCATGGGATCCCCCCCCATGAAGAGTCTCCCGATGCTTGCGTGCACCATAGCGCCGGTGTACACCACAGCGAATGTGTAACACCGCAGCAACCATGAGCAGCACAGCGCCTGTGTACACCACATGCTTGCGTGCACCCCAACGCCTGTCTACACCACAGCGTCTGTCTACACCACAGCATCCGCGTGCACGCAGCGCTGGTGGACACCGCAATGCCTACGTGCACAGGACAGGTAGAAAGAGCATGTAGGTGAGAATCTGCGGCGGACAGCTAAACGCCACGCCAGAGAAGTGCTGATAATACAATGCGACGGTCTTCCCTCCTCCCTCCTCCGCCCTTCGCCACCTCCACCACATCCTCCAACTCCCCCTCCTCCTCCTCCTCCTTCACCTCCTCCTCCTCCTCCTCCTCCTCCTCCTCCTCCTCCTCCTCCTCCTCCTCCTCCTCATCGTCCTCCTCCTCCTTATGCGGGTCCCCATGAGATTCCCAATGCGGACCAGGCTCCTATGCGGACTTCTATGCGGACGCCGATTGATTCAGATCCAGATGCGCATGGCGGCAAGTGCCCCGAGCGCACTTGGGGGGGAGGGGCGTTACGTTATAGGAGGGGGGAGGAGGAGGGGGGCTGGGGGCTATAATGCCCATTATGCCCCAAGCAATAACGAAACACGCTCCAAGTACCAGCAGCGTATGGTTCAGCAGCACGACCCCGACGTCCATGAATAGGACGACTACTGCATCGAGTACCGCATCGTGGAGCAGCACGATGGGCACTGGCATCTCGACGCTGAACACCACGTCGGAAAGTAGAAAATGGACCCCGATGGCAACGAGTGGGACGAGTATTTCGAGTAGCACGTCACTGAACACCACTGCGGGTGCCAGAAGCGCACCGTTGAGCAGCACGTCGGCGAGCGCCAGCCCGACCCTCTCGCGCGCGAGCGGGACGAGCACTGCATCGAGTACCGCGTCGCTGAGCTGCGTAGTGGGCACCAGCAGCTCGACCTCGAGCAGCATCCCGGAGAGCATCAGACCGAACCTGGAGCCCACGAGAGGGAAGAGTACTGTCCCGAACTGCGCACCGCTGAGCAGCCATACTAGAAGCAGCAGCTCGACCCTGACCACCGCGAGTGCGACGAGTGTTGCCTCGAGTTCCACGTCGCGGGGCAGCAGCTCCACGTTCAGCAACGTGTCACATTGCAGCAGATGGGCCCTGATGCCCACGCGTGGGACGAGCAAGGGCGTGAGCACCACGGCGCTAGCCACTACGACAGACACCAGCAGCGCAACGTCGAGCAGCACCATGGAGAGCAGCAGCTCGATCCTAACGTTAACGAGTGGGATGAGCACCGCCTCGAGTACCACGTCGCTGAGCTGCATGAGCGGAACTAGCAGATTCTGTACAGCACGCTGGAGAGCAGCAGCTTGACCCGCGCGCCCCTGGAGGGAACGGGTACCGTCTCGACACTCACGTTGCTGAGCTGTGCGTCGGGTACCAGCAGAACGTCGGTGCGCACCACGTCCGAGTGTAGCAGCCCGGCCCGAAGGTCCCCGAGCGGGACGAGTATTGCCTTGAGTACCACGCTGACGACCACACCGACGGGCACCATCAGCGCATCGCCGAGCAGCACAGCTGAGAGCAGCATCTCGACCCAGACGCCCACGAGCGTGACGAGTAGCGCTACGACGTCCATGGCCAGCCCACCACGGCTTGCGCACATGGGCACCAGCAGCGTCAGCCCCGCAACCACGAGTCGGACCACCACGGCGGACCCCAGTATCGCACCGTTGAACAGCACGTCGGCGAGCACCAGCTCGTCCATAACGTGCACCAGCGGGACAAGCACAGCCTCGAGCACCACGTCGCTGAGCCGCACGACGGGCTCTAGCATCTCGACGTCGAGCAGCATGTCGGAAAGCATCAGCTCGCCCTCCAAACCCAATGCTGCTGACCACCACGCAGGGCCCCAGCGGCGCAGCCCTGTGAAGCACGACTGGGGGCAGTAGCTCGTCCCTGACCACCACGAGAATGACGAGTACCGCGTCGAGTAGCGCCTCGAGTGCTACTACGCCTATGGCCGTACCACCAGGGCTCGAGCACATGGGCACCAGCTGCCTCACACCCACGATTCCACACCCAGGCCTGCAGCGTCACGCGCGACGCAAGGCACCACGGCCGCACGACCGCAGCATCACCTACCAGGGTGAAGCAGCCGACTGACCCCTGGGTAGGCCACAGAACGTAAGCGTGCCACGCGACGCCCCACGGCCGTCTGTCTATCAGTACCCCGACCGCGGGGCTCCCTGCACACTAGCATCGAGACGATACACCCGCGTGCTCCTAGACTTGACCTTAAGCTGCCCTGCACTCAGGAATTGTCAGGACCCCGACTTGACAGGATCCGAAGAGCGCAGACCGCCTGGATCGCCCTTCATCAAGTCCGATCGCCTGCTCGCTTCTTGGCGTCCCCCCAGGCGAGCCACCAGGCGCGTCTAGACGCTCACCGGTAGCAAACCCAGTGCCTACCTTTCCATGTTCTGAGCGCGTTGCGTGAACTGCTGGCAACTTTTCCGTAGCTCTAGTGCGTAGGGCCGCTGAGGGGAGTGCCCCAAGGCAGAGCCCTTCACTGTCTTAGGGGCCGCGTCGCGCATGCCAAAGCGCGTGTAAAGGTGGCGCCTCTGCCACCCTGATCGCCTCAAACACGATCTGCTTTCCAGTCGGGGTCCAAACGGACCGCGCCAGGGGGGAGGTCATCCGACCATCTCTGCTTCACACTCGGCGCCTCCTGGTTGGTGAGACGGCTTGCAGGGCGCTGGTAGCCTTGGGGCCTGGACGAACCCTCATCCGAAGTGTTGCGATCTCTCTCTCTCTCTTTCTCTCTCTCTCTCTCTCAATCTCTTTCTCTCTCTCTCTGGCGTGATTTTCAGAAACCTGCCAAGAAAGTTTGCGTCTAACCTGCAGCATGCTCCTCGCGCTCTGCTTGTCTACAGTCTCGGCATGAGCAATTCATTTGCACTTCGCACCTGAACGTGGGATCCACCAGGCGGATGCATTTCCCCTGGCCGCTCGATTGTGTGGTCCCCTGGCACCTCGTCAATGAAGCGGTGGGCGACGCGGGCCAAACTCACTGAGAATGTGTGGGCATTATATCGAGATCAACAGCTGCTCCTCCCCATCCTGATCATCCTCGACGGCGATCTAAGGCCGCGCAACAACTCCCGCTGGTTGCGCTGCACACCGCAAAGTCGGGTGCCACAGGCGGAGGGCCTTCCTCTCCCCCCCAGGGTCGCCCTCCTCTCTCTCCTCGGTCCTTTTCCTCCTCGGTCCTCCTCCTCCATCCTCCTCCTGATTACCTGATTACCTGATGGCATGAGGCCGCACAGACGTTACGACCCTCATCCGCCTCCTCAACAACCACCATCATCACCAAAACACCACCACCACCACCCCATCATCACCATCATCAGCATCATCATCATCATCATCATCATCATCATCATCATAATCATCATCAGCAGCAGCATCACCATCATCATCAGCAAAAACATCCTCACCACCATCATCAACAGCAGCAGCATCATCATTATCATCATTATCATCATCATAACCACCAGCACCACCATCAGCATCCTCAGCATCATCCTCATCAGCAGCATCATCATTAACATAGCATCGTCACCATCATCATCATCATCATCAGCAGCATCAGCATCATCATCACCATTGTCATCATCATCCTCATCCTCATCCTCATCCTCAGCATCATCAGCATCATGTTCAGCCTCATCATCACCATCATAACCAGCATCATCGTCGTCATCATCAACAGCAGCATCAGCATCATGACCACCATCATTATCATCATAGCAATCACCATTACCAACAACATCACCATCACCAACACAGTCACCATCAACATCAGCATCAGCATCAGCATCAGCATCATCATCATAATCAGCATCAGCACCATCACCATCACCACCAGCATCATCACCATCACCATCACCATCACCACCAGCATCAGCATCAGCATCAGTATCATCATCAGCATCATCAGCATCAGCATCAGCATCATCGTCATCACCATCAGTATCAGCATCAGCACCATCATCAGCATCAGCATCATCATCAACATCAGCATCAGCCGCATCATCATCATCGTCGTCATCATCATCAGCAGCATCATCACCACCACCATCACAAACATCATCATCAGCATCATCATCAGCATCATCATCAGCAGCATCATCAGCAGTATCATCAGCAGCAGCACTATCATCACCATCCTCACCATCATCGTCATCATCGTCATCACCACCATCATCACCGTTTGCATCACCATAATCGTCAATCATCGTCAGCATCGTCAACATCGTCGGCATCAGCATCACCACCATCATCAGCAGCATCATCAGTATCACATTTCCTCAACCGCATCGTCATCATCATCGTCATCATCAGCACCATCTCATCATGAGCAGCAGCATCATCTTCACCATACCCCACCACAATCATCAGCATCATCTTCACCATCACCATCAACATCACCATCATCATCATTCCCCCATTGGCATCCTCCTCTGCCGCTGCTGCCCCGCGCCCCTCCCGAGGGCGCGAAGGTCGTCAGCGAGAAAGAGTACTCCGACTCACCCATGGCTCCCAGGCCGGCCCTTACGCGCCTAACCTCCGCGGCGGCTTGGCCACCCGACGGCCGAACAGACCCTGACTTCGCCAGGCGAGGGAGAGAGGGAGGGAGAGAGGGAGGGAGGCAGGGAGGGAGAGAGGGAGAGAGAGAGAGAGAGAAGCGAGCAAGCGAGCAAGCGAGCCAGCCAGCGAGCGATCACTCAAGAGGCGGCTTGGCCAGAGCAGCAGAAAGGGCGGACAAGCGCCGCCAACGTGGACGGGTCGTGCCCTCGCGGGCCGAGGAGGAGGAGGAGGAGGAGGAGGAGGGGGAGGAAGCAGACGAAAAAGAAAAGGGAGGAGGAGCAGGACGATTCACCTGCCGAAGCGTCGAGGAGCAAGGCAACAAACAAGCTACTGGGAGGAGGACGAGGAGGAGGACGAGGAGGAGCGGAGGACGTCCCTGGAGGCCTCCAGAAGTTCGCGGAGGTCTCCGCACGTCCCCAGGGGCCTCAAGAGGTCCCCGCAGGCACAAAAAAAGCACGTCCAAGAAACCGTCGACCGACAAAAAAAGACTCCGAAGGCAGCGACGACGCGAGGGCATAATCTGAGGGGGGCAATCCGCCTGGGCGACTCCCGAGCCCTGCGGCCAGCAGGGGCCCAGGACCTCCAGTGGCGTGTTTCGTTCAGTGCGCGGCCCCCAGGTTCGAGCTCTCGAGGATGGTTTTGGAATGTTTCCCCAGCCCTCCTGTGTTGGGCACTCGTTCTGGATGGAATAGTTGTTCTTTCGTTCCTCCCGCTTCTTCCCTCTCTCTCTCTCTCTGTCTCTCTCTCTCTCTCTCTCTCTCTTGCTCTCTTCTCTCTCTCTCTCGTTCTCTGTGTCTCTTTCTGTCTTTCTCTCTCTCTCTCTTTCTCTGTCTCCCTCCCTCTCTCCTCACTGCCCGCTTCCTCCCCTCCTTCTAGCTACATCCACGCTTACTCTTCGCATATGGTTCGTCTGTTGCTCGTTTACCCTCCCTCGCCCTCCTGGTGCGCTGCCATTCGTGTTATCAGGGTTAGGGGTTATCGTATGCTCGATGACTGAAGGCCTGGGTGTCCTGAGGCCCCCCGACCAACGGAGACACCAAGCCACCGCGGGCCTACCCGCGCGGGAACTTCTCTTCCGAGGCTGCCCTGCGTCTGCTGCCCAGGGTCGCGGCGGCGGGGAGCGTGGAGGTTGGGAGGCTCGACAGCAGCTGTGGTCAGCTCGAGTTGGGACACTGGGAGGGGAGGCGGGAAGGAGGAGAGGGAGGGGAGGGAGAGGGGACAGGGGAGGGAAGTCCCGCGTCCGCCGCCTGAGATCCTGAAGAGTTGGGAGGCTAGAAAGGAGCTGCGGTCATCAACGAAGGGTGGAGACTGGGGGGCAGGAGGGAGGAGGAGGAGGAGGAGGAGGAGGAGGAGGAGGAGGCTTGGCCCACCTCCCTGCCCGCCCCCTCCCGTCCCTAACCCACTACTCCAGCATCCCTTCCCTAACCCTCTCCCATTCCTCCTCCTCCATCTCCTCCTTCTCCAAAGTGGGCTGCGGGGGCCCAGAGAGGGCCAGAAGCGTCCAACAAACCTCGACTGGTCTCTTCCTCCCCCACCTCCCCCACCTCCTCCTCCTCCTCCCCGCCTCCTTCTCTTCCTCCTCCTCCTCCTCCTCCTCCTCCCCTCCTCCTCCTCCTCCTCCTCCTCCTCCTCCTCCTCCTCCTCCTCCTCCTCTTCCTCCTCCTCCTCCTCCTCCCCCCAACCGAGCCCCTCCCCCCAGCGTGGTGGATGGATGCGCGGCAGCGCAGCTGGATCGCAGGATTCAGGGAGCGGATAAGGGACGGCGCCGACCTGCGCGCGCGAGGCACGCCGATGGTTATGCGCGCAGATCAACCGGCGAGCGCGGTGTGCCTGGGAGTGCCAACATCATCATCATCATCATCATCATCATCATCATCATCATCATCATCATCATCATCATCATCATCAGTATCATCATCATCATCATCATCATCATCATCATCATCATCATCATCATCATCATCATCATCATCATCATCATCATCATAATCATCATCATCATCATCATCATCTCGGAGACTGCGGTAGGGGCAGATATCCCCATAGGGTTCGATCGCCCATGTACTCGACGAGGCTGCCGGGCGAATGTGTGTAATGCCCAACCCCTGGGCTTTCCAGTCCCTGTCGCCGCCTGAGATCTCCAAGGCTTTGAAACCTACGGGGAATCTGCCCACCCCGACGGGGTCGCCAAACGCGTCACATGATTGTTTGCCCCCGTGCTTCTCTTGCGCGTCGCGCGGAAAGTGACAAGCTACGTTTTCAAGGTGTCCTTTCCCCCTGCCACAGAAAATTCCGAGTTCGAATCCCACTAGCCTTCTGAGCGGGAGTGGTTTAGAGCGTTTCTTCTTCAACCCCCTTCCTTCCCCTTCAGATAGGGGCGTAACACTGCTCCCTATTACTAAGCACCCCCTCCCCCCAGGCTACCAGCAGCCGACCAGGACCAATAAGGCCCCCCTCCCCACCATTCCTGTCAAAAAAATGTCAAATACACTTTGGGGCAAAATCGAAGGGAAGCCCATTCCCTTTGATCCCTTCCCCGCGGGGGAGGGAGGGGGGGGTCACGGGGGGGTCCCGGGAGGGTCCTGGGGGGGTTCCCGGGGGGGGTCCCGGGTTGGGTCGCCACCCAGATTCGTTTCCCCCTCGGGCGGCCCCGAAACCTGAAAAGTCCCAAAAGGAGCCCAGAGTGCTCAGGACGGCCCCCAAAATGGCCCAAGAGGGCCCCGAGTCGCCCAAAGATCGGACCGAGACGCCCAAGATGGCCCCAAGACGGTCCAAGAAGCTTCCAAGACGTCCCAGAAGTCTCCAAGAGCACCCCCAAGAAGGCCCCAAGAGGCCGCAATCATTGATTTTCCAAAAGAAAACGCAGACTTTTAGCAAAGACGAGTTTTCGGCCTTCACGGCGTTGAAGACGGTCCAAGAGGCCCCCAAAAATGCCTCAAGACGACTCAAGAGGCTCCCAAGAGGCGCCCAACTCGACCCAAGAGGGCCCCAAAAAGGGTCCAAGACGGGGAGCCCGAACCAAAAAATCCGAGCCTTCCGCCCCAAAAAGCTCCCAGGAGGCCCCAAGAGGCCCCCAAAAGGCCTCAGGAGACTCCCAAGAGGCCCCCAAGAGGCCCCCAAGAGGCCCCCAAGAGGCCCAAAAGAGGCTCCAAGAGGCGCCCATACGGCCCCCTCCTCCTCCCTCCTCCTCCTCCTCCTCGTCCTCCTCCTCCTCCTCCTCCTCCTCCTCCTCCTCCTCCTCCTCCTCCTCCTCCTCCCTCCCCCCTCTTACCGCTTACCGATCCATGCGCATCGATCCTCTGACAGGTAGCGCTGTGGCCGTACCACTTAGATAATCACCTCTCTGGGGGGCTCCAGATCATCTGGCTGGGGCCACTCTTTATACCCAGGTGGGAGTCTACTATCATCAAGCTCCTTCCTCCTCCCTCCTCGCTCCTCGCTCCTCGCTCCTCGTTCCTCGCTCCTCCGTCCTCCTTCCCTCCCTCCCTCCTCCCTCATCCCTCCTCCCTCCTCCTCCCCCTCCCTCCTCCCTCCTCCCTCCTCCCTCCTCCTCCTCCTCCTCCTCCTCCTCCTCCTCCCTCCTCCCCTCCTCCTCCTCCTCCTCCTCCTCCTCCTCCTCCTCCTCCTCGTCCTCCTCCTCCTCCTCCTCCTCCTCCTCCGCCTCCTCCTCCTTCCCTTGCTCCCACTCCTCTTGCTTATCCTTTGCCTCCTCCTCCTCCTCCTGCTCCTTCTCCCCCTCGTTGTCATATTCGTCGTCTTGAGGGTCGGCGGCACTGGCCGTAAGGCCTGCGCAATACACTGTGGGCAAAATCTTGAATCATGAGCGGAGGGGGCCGCGAGCACTTTGCATTGCTCTGTTGACAAGGACGGCGGGCGTGCCCGCGTATTGCCTTCTGCGCGCAAGACCAACATCCGTGTCCAAAAACAATGCATAATCCACTTCGAGATACAGTTTGGATCATGCACAAGCACCCCGCGATCACTGTGCATTGATTTTTGACTGGTACGGCGGGGGTGCTGGCATATTGCCTGCTGTGTGCAGGCCCACAAGACGCTATGATGGCCACCCCGCCGCGATTGCGCACTGGTGTTCGACAAGGGTAGTGGGGGCCGACACGTTTCCCGATCTGTTCTGCCACGTTCGCAGGCGCACATGGCACACTCTGCGCGTGCCCCGAACGCGGCGCACCTGGCGCGGATGGAGCATGCAGCACACGTGGCGCACGTGGATCACGTGGCGCATCTGGCGCACCAGGCGTGCCCAGCACGCTTGCACCACATGCAAGGGTGCCTGGCGCACATGGAGCGCGTGGCGCGGCTGGCACGCCTGGCGCACCTCGCCCAAACGTTGCGCACACGCGGTACGTTTTGGTTCCCACGGGCTCTCCGTCCAAAGACTACCGCTGAACACGGTGCAGCTCGGGAACTGCTCATGTGTTGGGTGTGAACCACGCAGCTTGCGGGCGGGGAGGGTGTCTTCACCCCTCCCCTTACCACCTCCCCCGAACTGGGACGGAGCGTTTTGCGAGGGGTTGGGGCGTCCAAGATGGCCTCGGCGCAAAAGCCAACATCACTGATCCCACTACGGTTTGGGACACGTGTTGGCCTCTTGGGGAGAGAGCCGAATTAAGGAGCCCACTTCCTTTGATCGATCTCCTCCGAACTGGCCCCGCATTGGCCCTCGAGGCTCCGAGGGTTGCCCCAACGCGGCCCCAAGAGGTACTGAGACTGCTGTCCGGAGCAGCGCTACCGTTCCGTCCCCCAGCGCCCCTCTTAGGAACTCGGACCTGCAGAGGGCACGCCAGCGGGGGCCCTGCAGGCGGGCGCCGTGGCACCATGGTTTGAAACGAAACTGGCGGCGGTTTCTGCGCCGGCTGGCGGTGACATGCACGCACGGCGCTGTAGGGGAGGGGGAAGGACGCACGAAAGGAGAGAGGAACGCACGACAAGCGAGGACGAGAGGCGAGGCCGAGGGAGGACGACGAAGGAAACGCGAGCGAGAGGATCCGGACGGTGCTATGAAAAAGGGCATCACATCATCTACTGGTACACTGGCAGACCTACCCTCCATCGATTAGCAAAGTCCGGCTTGGCAACATCATGCCAAACGCAAACGTGTCCAGCACAACTTGCTTCAGATAAAAGAAAATATCACAGGCCATAAGACCATCGCTTCTTCGGGCGGTTCGGGTGGCGGCGAGCATCACAATCGACGTCAACCCCCGAATTCCACAAAACAGCCCGTGCCGTCCAATTGTTGTTCGACAAAAGAACGTTGCGAGCCCTTGTCCATTTTCGTTGTCGTTGAATCGATACCCAAGCTGCAAGATGTAATCGGGTGAGGGTGTAGCATGTTATCTTCGTTGCTCTGCTGATCCATTCCGCCGAAGGCTCCATCGTCGTCGCTTTCTTGTACCGGGCGGCATGGGATCTCATCGTCGTCGGTCGAAGCTGCTGCATGCATAATGGTTTCCGGCCGTCCGTCGCGATGGGCACCTGCTGCGGCGCGCCGCCTCGGCGCCAGCAAAATTACGCGCAACATTTGCCTCTGCATTCTTGCGCAATCGGTTCTTCAAAGTAGATGTCACTGTCCAGACTTCAGACCCATAGAACACCGCAGGCGCAACCGTTCGGCGAAATAACCGCATCCTGCTGTTCAGCGAGTAGTGCATATCCATCATCTCTCGTCGCTGCGCAAAGAATGTTCGCCACCCTGCACAGACTCGTTTCTCTACCTCCGCTCAGTGGAAATAACTGAATTAAAACTTCCGCCCCAAAAATCTCTTAGCTTTGTAGGTGGGTAAGAGCCTGATCGCCATTCAATTTGCAACCGCATGGCTCAGCACTCTGCGCCGGCGTGATCTCCAGCACCCGCCATGCAGAATATTGCTTTGATCCGGGCGGAGGAGAAGACCTCCCAGCTTCGACGCTGAGGTCAGAAATCACGCTCGCGACGTGCTCCACAGAGCCCGCCACTAGCATGGCATCGCCGGCAACGCGTAGGTCGGTGAGTCTTTCGCCCCCAAGGCGCAATGAGATCCCCATGATGTTCTGCAGACATGTCTGCTCGACGTCGCGCACGACGCGCCCGGCGGCGCTGTCGAACAGGACAAAGCTAAATGGATCACCTCGTTTCGTACCCGCTCGACGTCGAATGCATTGCTGCATTCGTCTGTCCGGACCGACGCAGCCCGCGCACTGCGCAAGTCTGCAAGCAAGTGCACGCATGCACGCGGCGCGCCCCGTTGGAGCAACACGCACCATACACTCTAGTCCTGGCGGGCGACGCTGTCGAAAGCTCCTTCAAAGTCGACCGCAGCGGCCCACACTGGCAGGGTCCACTCGCTGACTTTTTCCTAGATCTGCACGAGAGTGAAGAGGTGGTCTGTCGCACTGCAGCCAGGCCGAAACTCCGCTCGATCCCAGCTCCGCTGAAAATCGAGGATCGGGGCAGTAGGTTATACAGTAGACGAGAAAACATCTTATATAGCATGGGAAGCGTCGCGGTCAGCCTGCAATTCAGGAAGCTGCGGGTCGCCACTTTTGCGCGAGACCTTGATCACCGCGCGCTTCCAGGCGCTCGGCGTCGGACTGCCGGGGCCTCGAACGCCGCTGAACAAATCAAGCCGAATGCGCTGAAGAGCCTTCCCACCTGACTTGAGCATCCCTGCAAAGATGCCTTGCTCGACGCGAGTCCCCCCGAGGCGTGCTGCACTTCAGAAATAGTGCAAGCTGGGATTGGCGAGTTGTCGGCACTGGCCGTCACGCGAACAAGCCCGCGGGCGTCTCGGCAGAGCCGCTCGTAAAATGTAGCAAAGACATCTGCGACACATCGCCAACCGTTCTGCGCGCGCCCTCCCTGATCCAGCACGCCGGCGATTAGCTCTTTCTGCGCGCACGTCCCCCCCCCCCCCCACTGTGTTCCTTCAGCCCCTTGATTTGCGTCGGGGCGCGGTCGACCCGAGCTCTCTGCACGGCCCGCCCGATGGCCCGGATCTCCTTCTTGAAAGCCTCGTTCAATTGTCGTCGCTGCAAAGCGTCCATCCGTGGAGCCGCGCGTCTGTGACACGGCAGGCCCGCCATGCGCTCCGCCGCCGGTTGCGGCCCCCCGCCAGTCGGCGCTGCGGTTGAAGATTGCACTTCGGCCATGGTTGCTCCGATCGCGCCCTCGATTTCCTCGCACTTGAGCTGAAGGTGAAAATCCAATAACACGTGTTCCACTTTGTCTGTCAGCACTGTTTTATACTGCGATACATCACGGGGTGGCCATGTAGGGCACATTGCCGCGTCTTGCGCAGCATTGGTCGCGGCGCCGTCAGCGTCGGCATCTCCACCATTGCCTGGACGGCTCTGCGGTCGGGCCCCATATTGCACATTTTTGATCCGCGGCAGGACAGCGACGAAAAGCTGCCCAACGAAGCCCCCAGGCCACTCGAGCGACCCGATGCCGGGCGGGAGGGGTGCACTCCGCGAACAGCGGCCCGACGGCCAGCGACTGGGCAGGCCCTGGCCGCCGAGGCGGAGGAGGGCCGAGGAGCGCAGGGCCAGTCGCTGGTCGACCCAGGCGCGACCGGTCGACCCGCGGCAGAGGGCCCACCTCATGCAGCGGCGGCTCCAGCGGCGGACAGCGGGGCGACAGCCGCCAGACGATCCCGCGAGGATGTTGGACACAAGCCCACGGAACTACGAAGCTCATTACGACATGGACCCCAACGCGGCAGAGACCGAGGACGCGCGGAAGAGCGCGCCTGGAATCGCAAGATGGGCTCGGATTAATCACCAGAGCCTACTCCAAACAGACCAGCAAAGAGCGCCCCCCGCAAGCTCCCAACCACCGAGGCCACCGATCTTTCAGGGCTCACCCGTTCCGCATGGAGAGGGCTTCACTTACTCTGCCGACGCCCACGGCGTAGGACCTCAACGATCAAGGCTCAGAGAAGAGGAGGTCGAGCGAGCGAGTCAGGCCCTGAATGCCTCGATGAATGGAGGCCCGACGCTGGGAGGTCAGCGCTCGCCTAGAGCCCCGGCCGAGCCGTCTGGGCTGGCCCCAACATCCGAAAAAATCGGCGATGGAAAAGACGACAACTGGGCTGGCTGCAGCGATGACTAACCAACAGTCCACTACGGATGGAGTCGACAAGATAATCCACACTTGGAAGTCCCAGGGGTCGACTCCGACCTATCGGGCAGGGCTGAACTCGACGATCAAGGTCATGTCAAGAATGAACTAGCCGGGCGACAAGCAGAAAAGCCCGCAGGACGCCGAGGGCTCCGTGAGAAACTTCGAGGGCATCTGCAGCATAGCAAATAACGCCAAAGGCGTGATGTGACACAAGATGGCCATGACCATCCAGAACTGCCTGAGGGGCACACGGAAGATGATCTACGACAATACCATCCAGGATGCCAGGGACGACGGGCAGTTGTGAGCAAGAGAATATATATATGAGAAGATCCGAAAGCGGCTTCTGCAGCCCACGGAGACCCCAGGCGCCCAGGCGAAATGCACCTTCGGGTCCGCACGGAGCGAGAGCCGCATGGACTTCGAAGCCCGATGGGGGAAGCATCGCGGCAACAGACGGAAAGCATGCCTGGCACGTGCCGAAGCCGAGGGCATCGCGGACTCCGCCGCGAAGATTGGAAAGATGAACAGCGCTGCGACCCAACTCGACAAGCGGGACTACCCCAAGAAGGACCGAGGAACGGAACACAACAGGCCAAAGACCTGACGGGAAGCCCACGCGGTCGCGCGTGACTGCCACGGAATAAACGACGACAACCCCTCCGGGACCTTCCAATCCTTCACGTCGGGCGGCATCCGGACCGATCCGGCCGGAGAAGTGGACGAGGACATCATAAGTTATCCCTGTTCTCGATCGGGAGGGCGCGCCGATGCGCGGCGCGGCGAGGAAGGCCCCCTTGCGCGATAAGTCCGACAGCGGCCCGCCAAGCCAGTGCTCGACCACCGCAGCAACCTGGTCGTCGCAAGGCCACCATTACTGCGGGTCGCCTGCCCGGGCACGCCAAACGCAAGTGACAACGCAGTTCACGGAGTTCGCGAACATCACCCACGCGTCGTGCTGAGCGAGGCAGTGGCGAAGAAGGGCGTTCATACGCGCGGCAAAGGCAGCGAGCCGGATCTGGGCGCGTTCCACCGGGGCAGAGCCTGCCAGGCCCCAGCGGGCACGTCGCGCCAGTCGTCGCCCTCCGCCTGAAGACGCCGGTTCCGCGCGCAGAGAATCGAGCTTCCTGGGCAGGGGAAAAACTGGAACGACGCGCTGCTGCAAGACGGCTGAAGCCCGGCCGGCGCGCCATGAGCGACCTCCATCGCGTCTTGGACACGTCGGCCTCAGGGCCGATGTTGCCGACTGTCTGGGCGGCCAGTTGCGCGGGCGCTCGCTTGGGACCCAGGAATAAATGCGGTCTAGATATGCCGCGGCACCCGCCTTCGCACGCAACGCCCGAAGGCCCCGGCGCAACGCGCCCAGGCAAGTCAGCCGCCAGAAAAGTTGCGGAAAAAACCGGCGAGAGGGGCAACCCTCGTCGAGGCCCAGGACTTGCTGAACCGCTTCGCTCGGCCCCCCGCTGCCCTAGAGGACGCGCTGCCCAGGGCGGTCGCACATCGCGCGGGCAAGGAGCTCCAAGTCAGGGCACCGCTGGCGCAAGGCTTGGAAGCTCTCCCGGCGCCAACTCCTGCTGAAGGCCGACTTCACGTCGATGGAAACAAACGCGGAGTCGGGCAACTCCTCCGCCGCGGCGGCCCCTGCCTTCTGCAAGGCGACGGCCCCAGCCGACACGCCCACGCAAAACTGCGCGGTTCTGACTGCCCGGCGAATTCATCGCTCTGGACCGAGCGCGCTGCCTTTGTTGGCAGCCGTCGCGGCACAGCGCCACTGGCCACAACGCGCGCGCCATGGTTGGCCTTGGCCAGCCCCGACAGCTTGGCAACGAACAAATCGCAGGCCGCCGCGGGCGCGCTCCCTGGCAGCCAGAGACAGCATGCGGGCTGCGGCCAGACAGCTGTCGGCGCTCCAGCCCATCGAGATCCAGCGATCGCAACGGCCTCCCATGGGAACGGGTCCGCTTCCACGCGGCAAGAGAGACCAGGACGCCATGATCGTCTGCTCCATGTCCGCTGCGAAGAGCCTGGCCGAGGTCACGAATTCCGCAGGGCCCCGGCCCCACGCCTCGTCCTGGCCGTCCCAGGCGAGTTCCGGGTGGTAGCCCCTTTTGTTCGTGGAAGGCAAAGTGCGTAGTGGCCACATCGCGCGCCAAAGCCGCCCCCCATTCTACTTGGCATGCTTTGCCCAGCTCCCCGTCACGCAAAAGCTGGCGAACACGACGAACCTTGCGAGTGAGTTGGATAGCGCTGCTGCGGGTCTTCCGGCGCACAGCGGTTAAGCGGCAGAGGATGTCTCCTTCCCCGCCCAGAATCCCAGAACAAGGTGAACAGTTCGCTCACGCGCTCCGCGACCGGTTTGCTCTCCATCAGTGTCCGAATATAGCTAGGCAAAGACAAACGATCAGTAAGCAGGAACAGACGTTAACTGGCGAGTCGCTGATAATCATCCTGGACCTGCAGCGCCCAGGAAGCGACAGTTTCCTTGGGCCCCCCCCCAACCGCGAACTGGAGCCTCAACATCATGACCTGGCTGAGGAGAGCCCCATCGAGCCACCCACGCGCCGATGGCGACCACATCCATTCCATGCGGTGGAGCTCTGAGCCTGGGAGGTCTGGACTGGAAGACGGACCAGGTCCTGAACTGCATCCCCAGTCGCCTCTTCAGTGCTGCCCTCCTGCTGCTCTGGCTGGTAGGCCATTGGCACGTCGGCGCCTCGCGGCGATGCTTGCTGTGAACTGCATGCCTGGCCTGCCGGCTGGACCTCCAAACGCCAACGCGAGGTCAGCCCAGCCAGCGACCGCATGGGGGGGTCCGAGCACCTCGCCTCCAGTCAGGGTGTATACTTGGGGTGAGCCAGATTCGCGCTCTTGGAAATCTGGACGTCCCATTGGCGGAATTTCTCTTGGCACACCTGGCACTTCCCCCGCAACCGCCCCCAGGCATCTTGAACTGAACAGCACCATCCCGAATCCTGTGGCCATACCCAGCGGCGCCAGCTTCTCTGCCGCGGCTCCGGGCCTGCGTCGACATCCATTCCCTGCGGCGGGCCGCCCTCGCCAGGGCAGCCCAGCGTGGAGCCCCAGTCCCGAAAGCACCAGCCCGCTGCCCATGCGGCCAGGGCAGCGGACGAGGCAGCCACGGCTTGGGCCTTCTCCTCTTCCTCCTCCTCCTCCTCCTCCACCTCCACCTCCACCTCCTCCCACCTCCACCTCCACCTCCACCTCCACCTCCACCTCCACCTCCACCTCCACCTCCTCCTCCTCCTCCACCTCCACCTCCACCTCCACCTCCACCTCCCCCTCCCCCTCCCCCTCCCCCTCCCCTCCCTCCCCCTCCCCCTCCCCTCCCCCTCCCCTCCCCCTCCCCCTCCACCTCCACCTCCACCTCCACCTCCACCTCCACCTCCACCTCCACCTCCACCTCCACCTCCACCTCCACCTCCACCTCCACCTCCACCATGTTGCATGTTGCATGCATTCAAGGGGAATCCGAGCACTCCTCGGGCCCGCTCGGACCTCATTGTGAGATCCTGTGCCCTGGCACCCCCATCGCCCGCGCACAGTCCTCTTGTGACTTCGCAGCGAGGGTGCTCGGCCATTGCGATAACCCTTGCGGCAGTAGCCCTCGCAAGAGTCTCGACCTCGCCTTCTTCCCCGTGCTTGTGGGGGGGAGGCAAGGTTCCTTCAGCTTAAAGGCGCGAGTCGCCGACACCCCCCCACACCTGCTGCAAAATGCGACTCCACGGAGAACATGGAGGTGTGGGAGGTGTGTCGCGTGAAACCACTGGGCGTGATTCGGGGTACACGGGGGCCCGAGCCAGGACTCCTTGGTCCCTCGAATCTGGTACCTGAAACAGATGTTGCACCTGAGGCCCTCGGGAACATCCTCGAGAACATGCTGGGCGTGGCCCCACCTCTTTGGGGCCTTGACCCGCCCTCGCTTCTTTGGAGCGGGCGGCGGGGCAGGGAAAACTTCCCAGAAAAACTCCTGGACAGCGGCGATCCGATTCTGGATGAGTTCTACCTCGCGATCAGCCTCTAAGACGGGGCGGGTCACCCAATCAGGAAGTTGGACTCGCACTGCTGCATCTGTTGCAATCTGATCTGCTAACTGATTCACCAGATATGCCCAGGGCTGGATGTTATAAACCCAGAAATCACTCTCCGTGGGGTGTGATTTGGTCTTGTGGAACTCCAGGGTCCCGTCGAAGCTCTGGCGGGCCTCCCAGAACTCCTCCCATAGGTCAACTGAACATTTGTGCCGCCAAAGGGGCCCTCGAAGGACTCCTCGATATACGTAGGCTGAGTCTGTCACGACGGTAATCTCCCCTGCTAAGTTCTGAATAGCCTTGACCACCGCGTAGAGCTCTCCGCGGTTGACTGTCTGTCTTCCTGGCAGGCCTCCTCTTAAAGTTCCTATGGTCTCAAGGTCGGAATCTTTAACTGCTACCCCCCAGCCAACTCTCCTCAGCCTCGGATC